CTTACTGGGCTCCCGCCCCCCAGCCCCACCCCTGCTTACTGGGCTCCTGCTCTGCGTCCATCTTGGCCTTGAGCAGCATTCGAAGCCGAGACACCTCCTGCCGCTTGAGCTCGTCCAACTTTGTCCGGACATGGTGGCTAACGAAGTCCAGCTCCCGGCTCAGCTTCCCACTCTGGACAGCGAGCGAGGGGACATTGGTCAGGCTGGAGGCGTGGGAGGGGGCACTTTCTCTGGCCTCTCTGGAACCTTCTACAAGCTTTCTGATGCCCCCTAGGGCTCCACAGAGCCCCAGAGACACGCTCCCAGCCCCTCAGCTTGACATTTGAGGCCCTGCCCACCTCTGTAGCCCCATCTCCTATCACTCATCAAATCACACTCTTGCTTCCAGCAACACTAACTGGGTGTAGGACCCCCAAGTTCAAGGCTCTTTGCACCTCCGGGCCTTTCACATGCCACTCCTTTTGCCTGGGAAGCTCTCCCACCACTCAAGACTGACCAGATCACCCAGCCGGGCGTGGGCAGCAGTTAAGCATCGACCTGGGATCCAGGAGATCGTGGTTCGATTCCCGGTCAGGGCACAGGCCCGGGGTGCAGGCTCGATCGGCAGTCTGGGGCGTGCAGGAGGCAGCCGATCAATGACTCTCATCATTGATGTTTCTCTCTCTCTCCCTCTCCCTTCCTCTCTCTGAAATCTATAAAGATATATTAAAACAACAACAACAACTGACCAGATCCTCACTGTCCTTCAGACTCAAAGCAGATGGCACCTCCCTTGGGAAGAATCCCCCCCAACAACCCTCTCGGCCCTGCCACACACGTGCCTGTGTGAGCACGCACACATGCACACATGCACACACGCGCGCACACAGTGTGCTGAGCAGGCTGCCTTCTCTGAGCTACTTCTCTTACCACTTCGGATTATGACTGTTTCTCAATCAGAGCCCCTAGGGCTCTTCAATGACGCCAGGGCAGAATTCCTGGGCTCGGCACTCAAGACCCTACCCTAACCCTAACCCACTTCTCTAGCCGCATCTCCTCGTCTTTATATCGGTTATAAGGAACTGCCAGGAGACAGCTGAATGTACCAGAACGCTCGGTTTACACACATAGCTCCTACTGTCTGAAACGTCACGCCCCATCCCAACGCTACCCACTTCAACTTCTATGCCACAGACACTCCCACGCAGAAGCAAACCTCACTTGGGGGTATCCTTTCCCTAGAAGCAGCCTCTCACTTTTCAGATTAGATGGGCCCCTCTTTGGGGTTTCCCCGGAGCCCTCCCCTAAATGACTGCTCAGATCGTTTCCTGTCACTCATGACTCATATCGGTCCCTTGGGGTGTGTGGCCCTTGCAGATGCAGCAGGACAAGGTGACCACAGAGCCAGTCATATGAGCCCAGCTTCTCAGTTTTGTGACTGTGGGCCTCAGTTTCCCCAGATGGGCAGTGGGACGTGTTGGGCTCAGCTGTCTGTGCTTTTACCTGTCTCTCTTCAGGGTAAAGGCGGCTAAGGACAAGAGCCCCAGGAATGCAGGAAGTTTTGGGGGAGTAGGGCTGCCTCCCCATCAGTTCCAGGTCCTGGGGCCTCTCCTGGGCCCAGGTGTTTGGAGAACTTGGGATGCCCCCTCCAGAAGGGACATCTGACAGCACCCGAACAGGGAGGGTGTGTGGTGGGATAGGGAGGAGCAGAGCAGGGACTCCAGGTGGCAGCCTGGACTCCTCACAGGGGGTGGAGGGAACGATGACCCTGCCAGCACCCCTGCCTGGGGGATGGGGTGGGGCATGGGCTTTGGGCTCAGCCAGTCCTGGGCCCACAGGAAGGGCAAACAGTGCCTCAGTGTTCTCTTCTATAAAATGGAAATAATCAGGGCTCCTTCAGAGGAGTCTGGGCAGGCAGGAAGCACTGTGCTGAGCACTGACGCACAGTTACTAAGGATGCTACTGCGGTTGCCAAAACCTGGTACATGTCTGACCCACAATAATCCGAACCTAAACACCAGGAGGCAGGTTCTGTTAGTCCCCCACTTTACAGATGGGGAAACCGAGGCATGGCAGGGGGCAGTCATATGACTGGTAAGTAGTAGAGCTAAGGCTGGGAGCCTGCGACATCCACCTTAGTGCTTAACCATAGTCTGTGTCCCCCAAGTCCCTTCTCAGTTGTGTGACCCTGAGAAGTGATTTCTCCCTTTTTGAGGGCTGGAGTCACATGGCCCCTTTAGGGAATCTCTGGCCAAAACTCTGGCCTCTGAGCCACGTCCCCTCCTGTCCCTTGTACCCAGCCACACCTTGATGTCCTCAGCGTTGGCAGCCTGCAGCTTCTCTCGGAAGTGCCCATCTGTCTCCAGCACATTGATGACCTCCTGGAGGTACCGGTGGTAGTACAGGCCTGTGTCCTGAGGTGACAAAGATGAACATGGCAGCTCCAGCCCCCGCCCTAGTCCTTCCTCAAAGGTAGGATGCAGGTCCTGCTCCGCTTGGTGTCTGCTGAGGGACCTAGAGAGACCCTCACTTGGAGCAGCAGGCTTGCCCCATGGATAAAGGGGGGAAATCGGCCCAATTCTAATCCCCACCTGCTCTGTAACCCCAGGAAACCTGCCTGACCTCCAGGCTTCAGCTTTCACCTCTTCCCAGGTCTGTAGTGGAGACGAAATGAGTGTCACAAACACAAACACATGCCCAACACCAGCCGAGTGGGGCTTACAAAGCAGACACACTGGTACTAGTTGGGAAACAGTAAAACATTCATTCATTCATTCATTCAATAAGCACCCACTGAGCCCCTACCACGTGGCAGGTGCTATTCCAGGGGATACAGCAAATGAACAAGACAGACAAAACTCCCTGGGCTTCTGGTCCTACTTCTCAGAGCTGTGCTGAAAAGTAAATGAGATAAATGGCCTGGCACGATGCTAAGGACATAGAAGACACTCAATCTGCTATAGCTCTCACTACATTGCAGAGCACAGTTGGTGCTTGATACACGGTAAGAGAATCACCCAGCTATTGCCACTGTGGGTGCAGTAATTTCCTATTGTTGCTAAAACAAAGTTCCACCAACTAAGTGGTTTAGAGCAACACAAAATATTCTCTTAGATTTTTGGAAGTCAGAAGTGCAAAATGGGTTGGCAGGGCTCAGCTCATTCTGGAGGCTCCAGGGGAGAATGTTTCCTTGTCTATTCCAGCTCCCATGGGCTGCCTGCATTCCTTCACTCATGGCCCTGCATCACTCTGACATCTTCTTACATCATCACACCACCTGTGATCTCACCTTCCTGCCTTCCTCTTAATAGGGACCCTTGTGATTACATTGGGCTCCCCTACATGATCCAGGATAATGATACCAACTCAAGATGATTAACTCAGTTACACCTATGAACACTCTTTTGCTACATAAGGTAATATATTCACAGATTCTGGGGATTAGGGCAGGGACATCTTTGGGGACTGTTATTTAGCCAAACACAGTGGGTTGAAATCTTGCTAGGACTGCTATGATACCTAGATATCCTGTGTTTTCATTTGCTAAGTCTGGCAACCTTAGTCTTTGAACAAGTTACTTAATCTTTGTGTTTCAGTTTCCAAAACCATCTGTTGTTGCTGATGTTTCTAACATTCTGCACTTTCCATTAGTCTCGGTATAAAGCATTCCCTACCATGGCCCACAAGGCCCTAAGTGATCTGCCTCGTCCCTTCTCTTGCTCAATCAGCACCAGCAACACTGGTCTCTTCTACCACACAGCCTTTGCCCAAGATATTTCCTCTACCTGGAATGGTTCCTCCCTGAACTTCAGATCTCTGCTCAGTGAGTCTTTCTCCCTGATCATCACTCCTGGTGTCCATTCTCAGGAGCCCAGACAGCTAGACTGGTCTGTGATAGCATTGGGGTGCATTAGCACTGTCCTTAGCTCATAAAAGATGCTTAAGAAGTGTGTGGGATGAATGAAGGAAAAGGGAATTCAAAGGTGCCCTCCTGTGTCTGCAAAGATTTCACTGGGCAGAGGCCTATCTCACTGGGTGGGGACCTACCACATAGGAGCATGTTCCAGAGATAGTGGGAACTGTAGGATTTAGGTCATAAATCAGGGCATTGGCCTTGAGGAAATCTTTCAAGTTCCAAGTACCAAATCCCCTAAGGCCAAAGGTTTCACAGCGTTGGATAAACACATATTGGAATGAATAAATGAGCAGTTTATATGTCACTTGAACTACAACTCCCACAAGCTCCAAGAAGTGAGAACAGCCCAGTTAGCTAACAACACACACCTGCTCAAGGTGCTACTGGGAAGTGTAGTTCTTTCCTTTCAAATTCCTTCTTGAGGAGAGGGGCATCTTAAAAACACACACCAAAAAACAACACCCAGAGAGGTTCAGGCGTGTGTGCAGGAGTTGG